CCTCTGTGTGTCTGGGTCCCCATCTCCTCTTCTTTTAAGGACACCAGTCATACTGGATCAAGGCTCGCCCCAATGACCTCATCCTAACTTAAGCTCTTTAAAGATCCTATCTCCAAATAAGGGCACATTCGGAGGTACTAGGGACTTGAACAATGAATTTTGGGGGAGGACACAATTCAGCCCATAACACCTTGGCCCAGCGGTCTCTGACCCTGCCAAGCCTCAGTTTGTGCATCAGTGAAATGGGGCTAATAATCTTATTTATCGAAGAGGGTTGTTAGGATGACCAAATTGAATAATCCTGATACAGCCCTTTGCCCAGTGCCTGGGCCCTAGGGCAAACACTCAGATATCACTTCTCACTATTCCACATGTGGGTCGCCCCGTGGTTTGGGACATCACTTCTCTGTAGAGGGGTGTCTGCATGGTATAAGGCGGAGGCCATGGTCCTCTGGTACCTCCCCCGCTCTGTGCCCAGTAGTCTATCTCCTGCAGGTAGATGCCTAGAGGACAGCTGCTGGGTCAAGGGCAGATGGCAGGCTGACTCCTGCAAGTGCACCTGTACCCTCTGTCAGTGGCGGATGGACGGCGTGTCCAGCCACCCCCATCCCCAGGTGTCTGTCGCTCCTTCCCCTCTCCCTCTGACTTCCCTGCTCTCTTGTCTAAAGCTCCCATCCCTGAGGCTCAGCAGAGACCCCGAGCTGTGGCCTAGGCTCCCAAAGTGGCCCCAACCCTCCTCACTGCCGCTCCTCTTCCACCATGCCCCCCTCTGCTTTATAGCCACACTGGGGGTTTCTTGTTTTCTGAACACAATCTGCCCTTCTTGGCCCCCTCGGCTTTTGCACCAAGGATGCCCTTCCCTCTGTGTCTTCCCAGCTGAGACACTTGTGCCTTCAAGGGACACAAGAGACCCTCTCTATGAACTCTTTTAATGCCCCTCCTCCCTCTCCCTGCACCATATTGCTAAGCTGACAGTGAACCTCAGAAACACTAATGATGAGGATGATGGTGATGGTAACAATAAGAACAGTAGGGCAACTGGGTGACTCAGTCGCTTAAGGGTCTGACTTTTGGTTTCGGCTCAGGTCGTCATCTCAGGGTCGTGAGATCGAGCCCCCCGGAGGGCTCCATGCTCAGTGCAGAGTCTGCTTAAGATTCTCTCTCCCTCTCCCTCTGCCCCTCCCCCCCCATGCTCTTACTCTCAAATAAATAAATCTTAAAAAAAAAAAAACCACCAATAAGAACAATGCCTGTCTCACCCCCTCCTTCCCACTGATCCAGCGTTCCTTGAGGGCAGAGTGTCTCCTGAGGCGGGGGCAGGGGCTCAGGCCTCCCACGGATCTGGCACGAGTTAGCCGGCACGGAGCTGCTTGGACTAGATGTATGGATGGGTAAAGGGTGCCGGGTAGGGACTGGCAGGAGAAAGGTGTGTGGGGGTGGCGGGGGCGGTCATCAAGCACTGTGCATCGTGATCCTGATTATGGAACCTATATCTGGGAATGTACTCATATACCACTGTCAGTAGGCGAAGTAGAGCCTGGAAGGAAACACTCCCAACAGTTCACAGGGGCTATCCCTGATGAATGGGAACTTTGAGGCGTTGGCTTTCAAACATTTCCAAACATTTTTGATCCCTCCTTCAGGAGGAATACATTTCACATCAGCCACCTTGTAAACACACACACACACACACACACACACACACCCACACACCCCTGAAACAGAAGTTTCGGGAAACTCTATTACCTTAGGTGAAATGTATGCTGGTAGTTACATTGTATTTATTCTATCTCAGTTCTTACAAAATGCTTGACTTGATCTGGTAAGTTGATTTCATGACCCACTGCTGGGTCCTGACTTGCAGTCTGAAAAATCCTGCTCTAAGTGAGGCTTGTACTTTCTCCTCCCCCTCTTCTGTATTTAAAATTTACTACCGAGAATGGATTTATGCATTATCGTCATATTTTTCACTTAAAAATAAAGAAGAGACAGCCCCGGGAAGACACGGAACAATAAAATCAAGTGGACTTTCTGGAAGGCAGTTTAGCAAAACCTGGCAAACCAGACATCTTTAAAGATGTGCATGTGTTTTGATCCAGCGATTTCCCCTGTAAGGAATGTGCTAGTGGGGTAAAGCGGTGCAGGACTGTGAGCACAAGCTGCTCACTGCGTTTCTGTCTATAATAATGAAACATCCCTCACACCCCAAGCACTCGGGAGCCACCCTGGCTGTCCATTCGATGGTGTGGCAGTGGTGCCATTCAAGACATTTATTGACAAGGAAAGAGGGTACCAGGAGTCAAAAATTAATGTCAGGCTACAATAATCCAGCTCTTGTTATTAATATATATATTTACAAATGTGGGGGGACAGGGAGAGGCATGTTTGAAAGTGCTCACACCCTGAGGTTACCTTGGGTTGGTTTTATTTTCTCCTGACTCTTCTGAGTTTTCCTCGATGAGCACGCCCTGTTTGTAAGAAGGAGAGATTTTAAAGGAAGAGAGAAGAAGAAAGAAAGGAAGAAACGAAGGAAAAGGAAGAGAGAAAGGGAAAGATGAAGGAGAGGAAGGGAGAGTGGGAGGGAGAAGAGAAAGAAGAGAAGTTGGGGGGTGCCGGAACCCCCCTGGAGCCGGGAGCCAGCCGGCCGCGTGGGCAGAGCTAGGAGCGGCAGGTCGGAGCGCCCAGTGCTCCCAGTTTCGGTCCGGGAAGCCGGACGAGGCCGGGTGGGCGGGGTTGGGGAGCGGGCTCCGCCGGGAAGGGAGGTCCCGCGGCGCGTACAGCTGGACCCGCAAGCGGCGGGCCAGGACCCGGAGCGGCCGCGGCCGGCCGTGGGGCCCCGCGGCGGTTGCCGGCGGTCCCGGGCCGCCCTCCGCTGCCTCCAGGCCACCAAATCCGCACCGCGGCCAGCGCCTGCCGGAGCTCGGGGCAGGCCCTCCCCGGCGCCCAGCCGCGTGCGTTCGGCTGGCTCCGGATTCTTCCTGGGGGTTTTGGGGTGAGAGGCAGCGTTGGGTGGGGAGGGGGAGGGGAGGAGATGCAGAAATACCATCTGTGCCAATGATTTTTCTTAAAATCATTTTTTCAATTTAAATACTTTTAAAGCAAAAAAAAAAAAAAATCCCAGCTCAGGGTGTCAGTTCCAAAAACTTTTCACAGAGGAGCGGTGTGGGGGCTGGGCGCGGAATCGGCGGCGGCGTTGGTGGAGCAGGGGCCTCTCTTCCACCCGCCTGCTGCACCCCCCTCACCCCTGCAGAACCCCCTCTCTCACGTGCGCACTGCTCACACTCAGGCGCTCACTAACACTCTCTCTTTCCATCCCGCGACCCGGACGGTCCTGGGCTCCCGGGCGGGAGAAGTTCGGCTGCCTCGCTTCCCCCACTCGCGTTCTGCAGACTCTCGTCTTAGCGCTTTCTTCTAACCCCCCCCCACCCCCCACTGTTCCGCTCCAGGTGTCGCTAGCAGAGGGAGGTGGGGGCTGCGCTAATCCAGGGCTCCCAGCGTCGCCCTCCCCCAGGGAGCAGCAGGGGACAGAGCGAGGGCCGGGATGGCGCGGGAGCGCCGGGCCTGGACTGCGGACGCAGAGCGGTGCCAAACGCCATGGCCCCCTTCCCCCCAGCCCCCGTCCCAGCAACAGCCATCCCTCTCTTTCCGGCCTCTCTCCGCTCCTCCATCTCGCCCCCTTGCTCCCCTTCCCAGCCCCGAGCGCGTCGCGGGTGGTGGTGGTGAGGTCTGGCTCGAACTTGGGGAAGCGGAGGAGGGGGTGTCCTGGGCAGGGGGCGCACCCCGCTCCACCCCCGCCCCGCAGTAGGTGTTGCTGCTGGAGTGGTGGCGCTGCAAGCCCGCCCTCCCTTCCCCGTCTCCCCTCCCTCCGCCATCGTGCGCTTCGCTAGTCGCACCTCCCGCGGACCCCGGCAGCCAGGCGGGGATCGGAGTGGAGGGGGAGACGATTTTGCAGGTGCGGGAACGCGGCTAGGGAGGGGCCAGGTGCGGGAACCGGGCTGGGGAGGGGCCAGGTGCGGGGAGGGGGGCTAGGGAGGAGCCAGGTGCGGGGAGGCGCCCGCGGTGGTCGCGAGCGCAGTCCTACCTGGTCCACAGCACCCCTTAGCCTCCACACCGCCCCCTCCCCCACACCATCGGACGCTCGGGGAAGTTAGACGGGCGGCGGCAGGGGCAGCTGTAATTGTGCGTGAGCGCAAGCGCGCGCGGCGGCAAGTAAGGACCCCCTTGCCTCTCGGGCCTCCTTCCAGGGCCCCGCTTGGCTCGGCTTCTCGGTTTTTCTCCCGACCCTACATCTCCACCGTGAGTGTGTGACTCCTGGGCACCCTCACCGTCCCCTTTACATATTCCTTGCCCTCCCGCGCCCCTGCCAGCGTCGGGTCCTTCCAGCCGCCCTTCCCCCCAGGGTCACTATGGGGACGCGCGCGAGAGATTTGTGTTTAATTCCTGCCGCTATTCAGAGGAGAGAGAAAAAAATAAAGGGACCAAAGGCAACCCGAAAACAGTTTACTTCAAGCTTTTATTATTGTAGCGTAAAAGAAGTTTATATACAGAGAGTATTTCCAGCAAAACACTCAAAAAATGGCCTTCGAGTCAGGGGCCTCCCACTTCCTGGCCCCACAGTCGGCAGCTCTGCCGAGGAGGCCCCTCACTCGGGGTCTCCAGGCTCTCGCCTTATCTCTCTTCCCGTGGACTCCTCCACCCACACCCCGTTTCCCAGGAGCCCGGGCCTCTTTCTTCTCCCTGGGGCGCGGCGAACCTCACCAGTGCCTCTGAAGCCGGCTTCCTCTGGTCCCGAAACGGTACTCCCAACCGCCCTCTTTCACCCCCTTTATGGCGGTTTCCTCGCGGAAACCCAGAGTACTTTCCCTCTCTCGTTTTAGGCGCTGCTGCAAGCCCCCCTGCAGTTCAGAACCAGCTCGTGGTCAAGACCAGTTAGAGACAGCTCGTCATCAGCAGTGGGGCTCGTGAGCACCCAAAATAAGGGGGGGAAACCACCCTGCCCACCCTTCCCCATCCCAAGCCCCCACCCCCAACTCAGGGACAAGAAATAGACACAAAAGCAGCAGGGCATCCCCTCCCTGCGAACGACAGGTGTGGGTGCCAGGCAACTAGGGCGAGCGGCAGGCGCTGCTGGAACCCAGCTGCGCTCAGGGTGCGCGGGCGCGGCCAAAGTCTCTCTGCGCCTGGCTGAAGGCACACTGGCTCTTCTCTCTGGGGAGGGGGGTGTGAGAGAGGCAGGGGCCTCTGCGGGCACAAGTGGGGGGAGGGGAGGACCCAGGCAAGGGTGGCATCGCATCCACACTCAGAAAGGGATTTCGAGCCAGCCAGGCAGGTACAGGTGAGGGACAGTCACAGCAACAGAGTCCAGGGAGGGGAGGGAGAATTTTCAGGTGGCTTGGCTGAGGGCACAGACTCAGCCGGCGATCCCGGCTCAGCACAGCCGTGTCATTGGGCCCTCCGCAAACCTGACTTGTTTGGGGGGCATTTGCACGTGGGCTTCGAAGGCTCGAAGACATCGCCGGCCAAGTTCAGTCAACTGTCCACTGATTGTTTACACTCGACGCGGCTGAGCGCCGTGCAGCTGCTCATCATAGTGCTCCAGCCAGGTGCGCAGCTCAGACACCTGGTAGCCGTCGGGGCCTCGGCCGCCCTGGTACATAATGGTGCCATTCTGGATCACGTAGAGGCGCTCGAAGTAGGCCCCATAGGCCGAGCTGCTGGAGTTGGCCATGGTGTCGAGGACAAGAGAGCAGCTGGGCGCTCCTTGCTGCAGTACCTGTGCCGCGCTGACCCGGTCCTCCAGGCTTCGGTGCTGCGGGATGCTGTACGGGGAGTCTGTGGTGACCCAGCCGTCCGAAGGGTGAGCTTCCTCGATGTAGATGATGAGGAAGTCGACGTCGCGCTGGTACTTGGTGACCAGGCGGTGGAAGGCGCTCATGCGCGCCATGAACGGTGGTCAGGTGCAGCTGCCGAAATTGAGAACTAGCGGGCGGTTCCCTCTCGCGTAGTCAAGGATGTGCTGGTTCTGGAAGCCATTGGGCAGGACCACCTCGGAGTTGGGAGCTGGACCGCCCTCATGCGCCTGCTTGAAGAAATCCAACTTCTGGCCGTGCCACACGGCCTTCAGCGACGCCAGGGTGCACAGCCGGTTGTCATCGGACACGCAGACAGGCGGGTCGTCCGGGGGCACCTCCTCGCCATCACTGTCGAGCTCCACTGCGGGTTCGGGCTGACCCCGGCGGCGGCGGCCCAGGAAATGCTTGCGGATGCACAGGAAGTCGAGGAGCCAGAGCATGAAGGCCGTGCCGAGGAAGCGCGGGAAGAGCACGAGGCACGAGGCCGTCTGGGCGCAGAGCCTCAGGGAGTGAAGCAGCAGGGAGCGGAGCATGGTGGCTGCAGCCCCCGAAGCCCCCTGGGACCCGCTACCTTCTCCCACCACCAACCGCGGGGCGGCCTGGCGAGGCATCTGGGCTTCGGCTGTGCGGGGAGCTCGATTTATAGCCGAGGCTTCAATTGGCGGGAGACTCCACCTCCGGACCGGGCCCGCCCCCTTGCAACTTGAGCCCGGAGGGATCACCCAGCGGCGCGGCCAATGCCTTAGAAATCAAGGGCCGAGGGCGGGCTCAGGCGGTCGGGGGCGGGGCGGCCCGGCCGCGGGCCGGCGGGGGCGGGGGCGGCCCGGCCGGGGGCCGGCGGGGGCGGGGCCGGGTCCCCGAAGCCCGCTCTCGGGGGCGGGGGACCCCGGTCGCCGCTGCCACCCGGGACGGGGAGCTGGACCCGGGACCCAGGCGTCCGCCGGGGAGATCCTCCAGCTCCAGCTGGCGCGAGCGCTGCGCGCGGCCTCGGTCCTGGCGGCCTGCCTCCGGCCCGCGCCCCTCTCGCCGCGCACCTGAGCGGAGCTCCCCGGCGGCCGCCGCGCCGCGCCGGAGCTCCGGTTCGCTTCCCGCGCGCCGCCGCCAACGCCGCCCCCGCCGCTGCTGCTCGTGCGGGGCCGCTGCCCAGGTGCCGCGGGAGCCCGGGTCCGCGGCCGCCGCTTTGCTGGCCCCGGCTCCCGCCCCGCCGGGGACGCGGACCCGCGAGGAGGCAACTTTGGGCCCCCGCCGCCTTCCCCGTTCGCCCGCGGGCGCCGCTCGCCTCCCGGAGCCCGCCCGCCCGCTCGCCTCCCGCGCGCGCTCACACTCGCGCCTCGCACACGGCCGCCCCCCGCACCGCCCCGCCACGCACACCGCGCTCGGCGCCCCCCGCCGCTGCCCCGGGCCGCCGCGCGCAGTCCCGGCCGCGCCCGCCCCGTCCCATCTCGTCCCTGTTCGGCGCTGCTGTTCTCGGGTCAGCGGCCTCCGGGGCGCAGCAGGGAGGTGCGGAGGGCAGGGCCCGGGGGCCGGTTAGTGCCTGGCGCCGGAGACGGGGAAGGCTGGGGAAAGCAGCGCCGTGCCTGTGCCCCAGCCGACCCGGGAGCGCTTCGGGCGCGGGGCGCCGCGGGCGCGGGGCGCGGGGCAGCGGGCGTGGGGCGGCGGCGGCCCCGGCGGCTCTCCCACTAGGGGTAGCTGTTGCCTGAACGCCGAAGCGCTCCCCTCTCGCCGCGCTCCTCGCCCGGCGCAGCCCCGGCCTCCGGGCGCACCCGTCCCGTGCGTCCCCGGACGTTGCTCTCTGCCCCGGGAACGTCGAGACTGGAGCGCCCGAGCTGAGCCACCTTCGCCGACCCCGAGCGCTGCAGCTCGACTCACCGCGGAGGCGCCCGGACGCGTAAAGTGCGTACTTTCAACCGAGAATGTGTGTTGAGGCTTTTAGGGGTGCGGGGCAACTCCCCAACTCCGTGGGGCCCTGGTCGGCCCCGCCGCCGAGTCAGAGACCAACTGATTCCTCGCTGCGCCCGGCGCCCGGCCGGCGATTCGTGCTCAGGGGCGGCGGGGCGGGGGAAGTGTCTTGACCTGGGGTCCCCGAAGCTGAGAGCAAGCCCCGCTTCGCCTTGGCCCGCCTTGCCCTCCGGGGCGAGGCCGGCGCCCGGTCTCAAGCGATTTGTACCCGGTCTGGGGAGTCGAGCCTCCCGGTACGCCCTCGCAGTAGCGGGGGCTTCTCTGGGGCGGCGGCGGCCGAGTCCCGGGGCCACCGCCGCCTGCGTCCCGTGCGCTGCGCGCCTCGGGGACCAGCCGCCTAACTTCTTCCCGGGACGGAGACAGCGCTCGCGCCGGTGGCCGAGGTGGGAGCTCGCTCGCTGGGCTGGATACGGAGAGGGCGAATCGCTCCCGGCAGCGGCGGCGGCGGCGGCGGCGGCGGCGGCGGCGGCGGCGGCGGTGACGGTGGCGGAGGCGACGGTGACGGAACAAGTCCGAAGAAGTCAACTGCCCGGCAAGGAGCCCCCACCCAGGACCCAACGGGACCCCGCGGGCCCGGGGGTAGACGCCCCGCCTTGGGCGGAGGTACTCCCCTCCAGTTTTAGCGGCCCTGGCGGGACCCTTTGCCCCATAAGCTTCCCGCTGGAGCTCTGGCTCCAGCAGGTCAAGACCCAGAGCAGAAGGTGGGGGGCACTTTAATGTAGCCCCCTTTCTCTTTCCCAGCCTGGCGATTTCTCTGCTGTCGGAGCAGGGATGTTGGGGCTGCACAGCCCAGGAACTCCCGGCCTGGAGGAAAGCCAGGCTGGTCCCAGCTCTTCTCAGCCTCCAGGCACTGCCCCTCACCGCCCTGGGTAGGGGTCATTCAGGTGGGTTAGGGAATTCTCCCTGAGCCAAACCTGGCTGCGGGGGGGAGGGGGGGATGGGTCCCACTTGTCTGCCCCCCCTTCCCCAGGGCACCTCTGAGTTAGTAAATTGTTTCCTTTCTTTGCCTTGCTCCCCCTTTGGGGGAGTATGTGGGTTGAGGAGCCTCCTGCTTGGCAAGTCTCTGAGAGGAGGTTTGGGGGTCTGGTTTGCCCCTCCTGGGCAGGGGCAAGGGGAATGCCAACTTTTGTTGGCAAGATTTTCAAGCCCTGATTCCTTGGTTTCTTGGGGGGGGGGGCTGCTAGTCTAGGACCTGTGCCCTGCCCCCACCCCCGCAGAAGCTGGGACAGGGCCATGGGGCAGCCCTCCCCCATCCCATATTTGAGTTTCAGAAAATGAAAAAGCCACTCTGGGCTGGGAGAGCCCTTTGTGCTGCCTGGGATCTGGTGGCGGAGCTGGTGGGTGTGTGGAAGGAGTGGTCTGGGGCACATGGGAGACGGGTCCCTTCTGGTGCCCTCAACCAGCCGACCCTCCCAGCCGCCCTGACTCCGCACCCCGTCCAGCCCCAGGGAAGCTCGGGAGAGCAGCACTTGTCCGTAGGGCTGTCACTGCTCTGGGGGCTCTGCTTGTTTCCTGGGCTGATAGGCTGCACTCCATACCTCAGGATTCCAGAACACAGGGCAAGGTGCTCAGACCTGTCTGGCTCCCACAGCCGCTTGTGCAGGTGAGGACAGACCCCAGGTCCAGGCCTTCGGAAGCCAGGCCCAGGCTTGGCAACTTTTACTCGAACCCTCTCTTCTCCCTCTCCTAAATCCTCTCGCCTCCCTGAGAGCCCATGCTCCACCTTCCTTCCTTCTCCGCAGGGCAGAACAGCAGCTCGCCTTGGACCTGGCCCTTCCTAGCAGCTGCTCACCCTGTCCTGGCCTGTCCTGGGGGTCAGCAGTGAGAGTCGGGCTCCCAGGCCCAGGGACCTGGCCCCAGTGGGCCTGGCACGCTCTGCCCTGGGGTCACCAGGGTTGGAGCTGGGGCTGTTCCCCAAGCCTCTGTGGCTGGCTTGGCCTGCCCCCCTTCCTGCCTGCCCTCTCACAGCTCCAGCAGGGGGCGGGCCGGGGAAAGAAAAGGAAGGACAAGTTGAACTGGGTCCATCTGGTGTCCAGGAGCAACTTGAAAGGGGGTGGGGGGAGGGGACAGGCGATGAGGGCTTGGCTCAGCCAAGGGAGGGTTGGGTGGCCTTCTTGCTTCCCAGGCCATTCTCACGGGGCTGTCTCCCCCGGGGGGAGGGAGGGCCTGGGGGCGGGGGTTTGCCCAGGCTCTGACCCCTCCCCCACAGGGCCCTATGTGAAGCTTGGTGGGCGGATGGGCACAGCCTTTGCTTTTCTCCTGGTGAGCAACTCCCAGTGACCAAGGAGATGGCTGCTGAGACTTCCCACGGGAGCAGCCTGCGCCACGCTGCAGGAGGGCCTCCTAAAGCCCCGGGAGGAGGTGGGCCAGCCTGCACACCTGGCCAAAAGTGTCCGAGAACTAGCTGAACCCTTGCGCGGCCTCACGATGTCTCCGCTGCCGGGGTCTCAGCCCCCCTTGGCCGCCGACCCTTCGTCTCCCCTTCCACTGGCTTCTGGGAATTCCCACGGACTGTCTTGTCTCAGCCTCCCCTCGTGCTCCCTCCTGGCGGCTCTCCTTCCCCTCCTGCTCTACCGCTTCACCTCTGCCTGTGTTCAGCCTGCCCCACCTCACAGGGAGCTGGGACCTCCCTTGCCCTCCCCGCCCTCCTGTATCCTCCACCCTCGGCCTTCCTCCTCTGCTGAGCCTCGGGAGGGGTGCGCTTCACCTCCGTTCCCGTCCCTGCTGCCGCTCAGGCTCCCCCGGAGGACAGATCCCAGCTGGGATCCTGCACAGGGACCTGCTCCCGGCGCCCAGGAGAAGCCCAATAAACCTTTGTGAAATAAGTGAATGAGTGTGGTGTGGACCTACTGGAAACTTGTTTCAGGAGGATTCCAAGGTATTTCATTCTGCCCTTTTGCCTACTGGTGGCAGTGAGCGAGGTAGGGTGGGGAGGCAGTCGGGGCCCAGGGAGGCCTGGGGGCCTGCCGAGCACACAGTCTCTGGGACATGTCTGTGGGCGTGCTTTCTGGGTCATCCTCCCATCCTCTGGCCCCTGGGTCAGTCCGTTTCCCTTCCTGGGGTGAGTAGGCCAGCCCACGGGGACCTCGGCCCGCCATCACGGTGCTCACCCGTGTCCTTTGCTTCAAGAATGACTTCTTTCCCAACTTCCTTCCATCTCTTCAGACTCCAGTTCGGCCGGGCTGGGTGCGGGGGGCGGTGGCTGAGGGCTCACTGGTCTGCTCTTAGAGGGGTCCTTAAAACAGCAGGTGTCCATACTTCCTCGGGCCCCCACTGTCCCCCTGCCGGGGGTTGGAGGTAGGACGGGGAGAGCTGGTGGAGTTCCCCCAGTGGCTGGACAGGTTGGGAGCCAGGCCCTGAGAGCTCGGCAGGGCCCCAGGGCCTGGATGGAGCAGGGGTTTGGGTGGCATTCCAGGGTTAGAGGCCCAGGACTCCTGGCCAAGGGGGTGACAAAGCCCTGGAGGTGACAGCCAGGCCACCTGCAGTCTGACCTGGGCATGTCCCATCCCTCCCCTCAGGCCTCATCGGCACTGCAAGGGGATTGGGTGGCTACTTCCCAATGCCTTCCCTGGGCTGGCCCTCCACAGCTCCAGAAGGTTCTAGGAAGTGTTATAGGACCTGCCCTGCCCCTGCATGCTGTTCTGGGGCTGGT